AGTCCTTCATTTACTGATGAGAAAACTGAGTCACACTCAGCTCTTTCTCCTAATTTCACTGATCTTTCCACTGCCCCAGACTTTGGCAGAATTTGTACCCAACTTGTTTGTCCGTTTTCAGGCTTGCAGAGTGGAATGCGAAAAGTGGGCATTCTATTCTCCAAACAAGGAAGCCCTATAATGTGGTAAAGCTTTAAGGTCTCCTAAAACTACAACTTTATGCTCCAGTGAAATGCATGAGATTAGACCTGTGCTTCTTCATAATGGCGGCAATTGCAGAAATTTCAATGCCAAAGCCCCATTTTCAATGCAAATGGCTTGGTTTGGGGGGTGGGGTGGTCCTCTGACCTTGAGGCAGCTGCCATGGTCCAGCTCAAATATCAGCCAGAGCAGCTGCTGAGTTAATCCCTCAGAGTAGGAAGACATTTCTCCAGAAACCTCTGTTCCCTGCACAGCTCCAGTGAAATGGCTTTGACAAATTCTTCAGTGCAGGGCCGCTAAGCTGCATTGGAAAGAGAGGACGGGGAACAGAGAGAGGGCTCTCATGGCTGCTGCTCCCACCTCTGAAAAAGTTTAAGTGCCACATCTATTCCCAATAAAGAGCCTAGTTGTTCACAGGGAGACAGGGGAGTCCTTGCAGAAACAACCAGGTTTACTTTGCGTGTAAGGAGTGTACGAAAGGGAGGGCAGTGGAGTAGACAGATTGGATTGGAAAAATGACCACAACAGGGCCTGCCAAAGAGAAAAGCCTTCCAGAGTCTGCTTTTCAGGGCTGAGAACTGCCTTTTCATACCCTTCTCGCCACTTATCATTGCCCTGTGTTCTGAGGTTTGTGTCATTTTTCCAAAATGAACCGAAAAATAATGAAGTGTATCAAATGCTATTTTCACCAAACTCTGTTCGAATTGTCTGCTGTATGCAGACATGGAAGGAGGGTGACTCGCCAGTTAAATGCTAGTTCACATATAGGGGCTTTGGACAGTGTGACCTATGACCTCTTTCACTGGGTATTCTGGTGAAAAACTAGAAAGGGTGGTGGGAATCACAACTTTTTATCAGATTCAAACTCTCCATACCTTCTTGAAAAATTATTTTTCCTTAGCAAATGAAAGTGTAGACTCAACAAGGCTTCTCTGATCTAATTTAAAGCAGAAAGAACCTCATTCACCAGCAGTAGGGGGATCTGATATCTGATTCTTGCCATGTCCAGTTCCTAACACATATCTGCATATATGCTTGAGTGAACAGAGAAGGTAGAGCTTACTCAGAGTCAGAAATCGCAGGCGGCAAAAGCAAAGGGAGGTCTCATTGTAAGAGCAAGTATGTGGGAAGCATTGGGGAATAGAACATTTGACTTTTTGAGAGGTTTGCAGCTCATTTCATGGGAGTTGAAGTGACTTGGAAGATCAGTAAGTGAATCTGAGATGTCCGTTTCTAAGGCAACATCACTTCCACACATGGGAACATAGAGTAAGAAGAGGTAAGCCCAGCAATGAGTCAAGAAGAACTTTGCATCACATCCTAAATGTTCAGGGAAAGACTGATGATGAACTTTGAAATTCCAACAAGTGCACCTTCCACTGGAAAAATATTAATCTAGGGAGCTGGGTTCTGAGGTGGTAAGGTGAATGAGCCTTGCAGAAATCCACACAGAGACCAGGAAACCACCACCCTGCTGAGGTCTCTGTTGATTTGTCCATATCCCAGTTCAGCAGTCAAAGAATGGCACTCCATAAGGGATAGTTTTCCTTCTCCATGTGCTTTGTCAAACATTGAGAACTACATAAGCAAGGTTCTTGGCAATATGAACCCCAATTTACCCTGCTCTATCCCATCCCCATTCTGCCTCCCCTCACCTTCCCAAACAGGTATGCGAATGTCAGCAACCATGAAATGGGCTAAGTTGGCAGCAGCCACAAAGCATGATGTTCCCCTCGTAGTGCCAGAGAAGAATTACAAGAATATGTGGTGACAAAGCCCAAAACTCAAATTCTCAGAATGAGAACTGAACACTTCAGACAATTAGGTAATTAGGTCCTCATTCCAATAAAGCATGGATTTTCTCTCTCCTCATTCACTCCACTGAGTCCATAGCCAAAACTTCCTCCCACTATTCTTTACAACAAATAGTGACAGGAGACCATAAGAGAGACAATGAGAACATTCTAGGGCACACAGATTTCTGGCTGCTTATTAGACGTTGAGGGGGGAGGGGGCAGGTCCTGCTTACATATAATTACAGACATAGCACAAACCCATGGGGATTCCCCCTGCAGTTGCAGAGCAGACAACTAATGAGGAAGAAAAGAGCTCTAGGATGGAGAAGTTCAACGATGGTCAATGTCATCTCAGGGAAAAGTCAATGAGCCAGAAATAGCCAAGACCTCTCAGCACCAGTGACCCTGGATTGTTTCTGGGGTCTGCTCTTGGGCCCAGCAGGGGCATTTACATTGAGAACTACACAAGCAAGGTTCTTGGCAATATGAACCCCAATTCACCCTGCTGTGTCCCATCTATCACATGGGGTTGAATCTTTAAATATTACTAATGAAACTGATAACATTCAAAAGGATTAGAGAGTGCAATGTCAGTCTTCATAAATCAAAAAATGGCTTAACCATGAGAAAGGTAGCAACAATAACAAGCAGGGGCTATTTGATGGCTTTACTGTTTTCCTTTGTTTCTAATTCTTTATGGTTAGTAGACGAACGTTCATCTTCTGGCTCCTTATTCGTTCAGGTCACATCTGACTGCAGTCCCTGATATTGCTGCATTTAGGGTGCCTTTCTTTCAGAGTCCTCCCCTCCAAGAAGAGACATTGTAGAGTCCAAGGGTCCAAAGAGAACCAAGAAGTCACCCAGTCAACCTCCCACTTGTACAGGAATCGCCTACAATAGGTAGGAGTCATCTGGTCTTCTCCTGGGCATCTCTGGTGTAATCACAGGAAAAGAGACTGTTTTATCTATGTAAGAAGGAGCCTTGGTGGTGCAACAGTTAAGCACTCAGCTGCCATCCAAAACCCACCGAGTAGCTCTGTGGGGGAAAGACCCAGAGATCTGGTTCCTTAAAGATTACAGCCAAGAAAACCATATGGGGAAGTTCTAGTCTGTCAAATGGGGTAGCTATGAGTCAAAGACACCCAACAACAAGGCCTGCAATTGCTACTCCTCCCTCGGCTTTAAGCACAGTAAATCCTCAACACATTATTGACACCTTTGGAAAGCGCAGGGCTCATTCCTACTGGATTTCTGAGTAATTGCCCACCAAGACCCTACTCTGTTTCAGGGTTTTCTCCATGCAGGATTAGAAAAGGGAGCATTTCTCCTCCGGAAAGGGCCTTGAGGTGTTTGCATTGTAGGGAGCTCAGGGCCATGAGTATTTTCTACTAGCATGATTCTTTTTAGATGATGAGCCTCAAGGTTTGGGGAGATATTCTTCTCTGGGCTTCCAAAAGACGAACATTATGGAAGAAGCTACATGAGATGTTAGTCAAGGGAAAAGAAAATATTTCCTACCCATTAAAGTAAAAATCAAGCACTGAATCTGACGCCAGATGTAGTGAAGTATAAGAAAAGCCAAAAGTGCTAGGCAGATTGCTAACTCCTGTGAGAAAACAAGAAGAAAGCTTCACTGATATTATCACACAAAATAATTTTTTCAACATCATTTAGATGAACTTTTCATTTTGGTTTGGAGTGCCTGCTACATGATCTTCATGGGATATTATACTACTATTTTCAGAAAACAACCCTTCCTCACTCAACTTCCACTAAATATATAAGAATTCCAATAAACTCTCTAGAAATAATCAGTGTCTACTCCATTCATTTACAGAAAAACCATCTCAAAAGTTTTCTTCATTTTGGAGATGAAAATCTAATCAAATAAAATCTAATCAATGCCACTGAATTAATTATACACTTAAAAATGGTTATAATGGCAATGTTTTTGTTAGATATATTTTACCATATTATATATTTTTTTAAGTTTTCCTCATACCAAAAAATTAGTTTTATTTTTCATCCATGAGTATAAATATCTGGCATAAAGGCATGCTATTTTTTATTTTCCAAATGTCATTTCCTTTTATTACCTCATCAAATTGAGGTTCACTTAAGAAGATAAAGTCAAGATATTCAGTAATTCTCTGATTTTTTACAAAATATTGTTCATTGTTCTTTATCACCTGATGACCCAGGAGCATGGAACTAGAGAGTGTTTCATTGGCAGCCCTCTTGTCTGGGCAACACTCATACCACACACATCATTTAAGAATACTCATGGGTATGGAGTAACCATGAGCATTCTTCCTTCTAAAGAAATCACAAAAGATTTCTTCTATGAAATCTTGGACCCATGCAAACCTCTAACCCAGGTTAGGGAGAAGACATGGACTTCAAACATTCATTATAAGAAGATAAGGGGGGAAAAAATCTATCAAATATCCTTTGAGTGTATGGAGAAGAATATGTACTTTTCTGCTTCCAGGAGCACATGCTTAGGAAGCACTGGTTTCTTCAAGCCAAAGCTACCTATGGCCAACACCTTCTCAGAATTCATGAAACAGATGTTATTTTCCAGAGCAAGATTAAAACTCAATTTATAAGTGCTCCTTGGAGGTCGCTGGGAACAGCACAAAAGCTGGTTATTAGTGCTTAGAAGGCCAAGGAGGACACAGCAAAGGCTGAGCAAGGGCACGGAGCCATTCCAGAGGTGAACCAGGGACAGCCGCCAGTCAGCGCAGGCAAGCAGCTTTCTGCCCCTCCCCTGGGAGGCCAGGTGTGAGGTCACTAGGTCAGAATAACGTCAAATCTGTTTTTTGTTTTCCTTTTATATAATGCTTAACAAAACATATCAACATTGGGGTGAGTTGCTTCTTTGTTTTTCTCAAGGCAATGATTTCTCTGTTCTTTCGAAAGCCCTGCTTTCTCTCTGTGGCATATTCCCTGGGACCCTCGGCAGCACAGGGAAGCATTAGACACAGGAGCATCAACACTAACCTGAGAAGTAGCTGCAGGTGAACTAGTTTCCTTACCACTCTCTGCTGCCCTCTCATTGGCTGCGGCTTCTGCCACGGCTGCCTTCTGCTCATTGGATTCCTCAGAACCTGAAGGCCCTACTTGTCCCAGACTTTCACTCCCTGCAGTGGAAGGTGGGTTGGCAGCTTTCCAGGTTTGGCCTTTATACCAACTAGGATAAAACAAGGGATCCGTAGTTTCCGTTGCTGCAGGGACTGGAGTTTCAGACTCTGTGGTCTGTTGAGAGCCACTGGGCACAACCTCCCCCTTAATCGGGACAGATAAATTCAAAAGTGAAAAAAAAAAAAAAAAAGAAAGAAAGAAAGAAAGAAAGAAAAAGAAAAGAGCAGTCGATTTTAGTTCAGTGCCTGACTGCACATGTTTTAGCTCAACCCACCCTCCTGAGTGCTAAGGGAAGAAATGTTGGTGACAGCACCCCTTTGCCTTATAATATGAATTTGCCTCCTGTGCCAAAGGCATTTGACTACTAACCACAAGACTGGTGGTTCAAACCCACCAGCCACTCCTCAAAAGGAAGACTGGACAATCTACTTCTGTGGAGATACCACCTTGGAAACCCAAGATGGAGTCTCTATGAGTTGGAATTGACTGGAGGCAGTGAGTTTTTTCGTTTTTGGTAATTGGTATGCAGTGAAGCTCTGGGCTTATCTTTGACTAAATGGCACCCCGGGCAGACCAAAACAGAAACCTAAAATGAAATTTGCTTGTAAAATACTGGAATGGGATAAGGATCAAACTATTGACCAGAATTAATTTTGCCATATTACATGTGGGCTGCCAAACCTCTTTTCTAAAATCAAAATTTTATTTTAATGGTCAAGTCTCACCCTCATTTAGTTACCACACCACTTTCCATTTCAGTGCAATTGGTATATCCAGAATTTCAAGATTCTTAGGTTTATAAATAGTATCTTAGCCTGGTTTCCTATGGAGACAGAGCACAGAATATAATTCCATCTCTGAGTTCACTAAAGTTTTGTTTCTCTATAAAATTTCAATCCACTCTGAAAGTAGGTGAAAACCAGGGCCCCTATTTGATGAGTGGGCATTGCCCACAGACTCAGTAGGTTGTGATCCTATCTGCTGAAGGTGTCATAGAGTCAGAACAAAGGCTTGAGAACAGGACAGTGATATCTCAGAAACACATGATCTGCCAATCAGGTGCAACATTTGTGATGAGCTAATTTCCTAAGAAATCTGTTGAACAACCTACCAACACATAATCTCATCAAATGGCAAATCCATAGGAAATCAGATATGTTTGTTCATAGAAGGAAAAGTAAAGTTGTATTTCAGGGTAAGCAAGAGGGACATAAATGAGTGTGGCTTCTCTATTTACTTTCTTTATTACCTATGGAAAGGTCAAAACTCTGAAAGTATAATCACTTTTACTGTTCATTCTATATTATTTCTTTTCCTATATCCTGGATCTGTGTTCATTAAGCAACAAAGAGCTGACTCAATACTCTTGATATCATCTATGAATCAATATATTTTACATACACACACACACACAATTTCTAGACAAAGATGGCCTCAGTTGTATGGGTATTTTTAGTGGGAAAATCTTGTTAAACTAAATCTTGCCAACCAGCTATAATGACAACAATGTGTTGACTCACTCAGAAGACTTTTCTTCCTCACACTGTGACTGTTCTGAAATCTTTCGTCTTCCATATACAAATGTCTGGCATATAGTTACCTTTTTCTTACATTACCTGTGTCACTGGGGTCTCAGCAGTAGATGGCAGGGCTGGAAGTGGCTCTGCAGAGGAAACCAGAAGTGCCACCGAGGGCACCTGGAGCTCCGAGGCCTGTGGAGAGGGCTGAGTGGCTTTCTCCGGACTTTCATCTTCTCCTGATGACTCTGTTCGAACATTTTCTATCTCTTCCACTTCTATTACTTCTTCTTCTCCTTCTCCTTCCCCTTCTCCTTCTGCTTCTTCATCTTCTTCTTCTGCTCAGGTAAAGGAAGCTATTTTTTGATCCTTGAAATTACCACCCCAGCCATGAAAGCAATTAATGGGTAGTACTGACAGACCAGGTTAAAGTCAAGTGTGTGGGAAAATCTTCACCAACAGACAGTGGACAGTGGCCCAAGTAAACCAGGCTGGGGCTTGGTGGTTCCAGTGAATGTGATAGGACAAATGTGATGGGGCATCCAACCATCACCATCCTCCTTGTTTCCCTCCCCAGGACAAAGTGCAGACCTCACCATCATCCCAGAGCCTGTCCACATTTTTATCATAATCTGCTACCTGCAGAAGCCCTGGAGGGCTGAGATTATCACCTATTTATCTCTGTCAAGTTAAGCTGAAATGCAACTCCCTTCCCTATTTCAGAAAACGTACAAAATCCTCCATCATTTTGTTTTAATTTTTTATCTCCTTTTTTTTTTTTTTTAATGAATACTAACTTTTGCCATAATTAATGGCAGGACTGTTTTCCTAACCCAATGAGTTTAATTTTGGATAATATTAAGGACAGACAATATTAAGCACTAAAAAAAAAAAAAAAAATCCATCTAGAAGATTTGCTTCTAAATTTTAGTCCCTGGACACTGGTACAGTCTCATGGCATTATTAGTGGCCTAGCTGAGGGATACTGTCATCTAGATGAACTGGAATGAATCAAGATGATCAGAGTTTTGGTCAGCTTCAAAGTTATTTTTCTCTTTTCAATTATTCCATCAATTATTTCCAGTAGTGAGAAATCTAGTCCAAAGTGTAGGCTCATGGAGTACATCTGGGCACATAGACTCAGCTGTATTTCTAATTTGTGAATTATTACTACTGTTGCCCTCTAAAGTTTGATGAAGTGGATGTGCTACAATATCTAGCTCAGATGTCTTCTATGTTTTCTTTTTATCTCATCCTCAATCTTATACCTGATGACATTTCATCATCATGGCTAACACTGCATGGAGTTGAGGCTGAGATACCATCATCACCATCAATTACTAAATATTTGACTACCCAGAGTCAAATGCCCCCAAATGGCATTATAATAGTCACTGTGGTATGCAAAGCTTGACAGAATAAACTCTGTCAACAAGCTACATGATTCCATAATGAAACAAAGCTTCACTTTGGATTACAATCCTTGTAAAGTTGTCGACATTCATTCTGGAGGTGTATCTGAGTCCCCCTTTCCTCCCACTGAACCCTGCTGCTGCTTTCACACACCTGCAAGGTCGGCCAAATGGTCAAAAGAATAACAAACCTCTATAAAAATCAATTTCTCGTATTATTTTTTCTTCTCTATTGAGATTGACTGTGAAGTGGTTCATGTTTTCATAACCATGTTCTATTTTCTCCATCTGAAATGCCTTCGATGCTTCAGAAATTCTGTAAAAAAGACAAGTTGCTACTTGCTGTCACTGTTTGAAGTTTGATAGCTTTGGGTAAAAATGAAAAACATACATTTTCCCACAAAATAAAAATTACTTACTTTTGCAACAGGGTTTTGGCATTCTGTGAAAGCAAACAAAAAATAGGCCTATTTAAATTCTTTATATCAAAGACTGTGTTGAGACTTAATTCTTTCCTTTGCTGACTCTCAGAATCTCATAGCTTAGTTTCTAAATGCTATAAATAGTTGCTGTTTTATAGAAGAACTCTCTTATAGTCCAGCAATTTCAAGGTATTTTAAATATATGTATATTAAATTATTTTAAACAGATAAAGACAGAGGCACAGAGTGGGCTTATATTTTGTCTGGGAAATAGGTAAAAATGAGATGGGCATAGAATAATGAAGATACTCCATGAGGAGATGTTTTTGCATCAGTTTGTGATAACAATGAAATCTCAAGCACCCACCTTCTTGGTTTGTTTCCCCTGGTGCCAAAAAGAAACTTACCTGCAGAAACACTGCCATTTCTGGTTCATCCATGAACTGGATTCCTGACTCAACCAACTTTGATACATTCTCCAAATGATCAGAATACTTTTTGATCAGGGCTCGGACACGTTCCAATTTCTCCTCTTGGGTCCGGGTGATGACTCGTGTCATTTCATTCTTCCTTTCCTCTAGGATGCCATACAGGTAATCAAACTTCTCACAAAGTTCCTGCTTCTGATTTCTGCAGCATTCCTGTGATTTGAGTTAAATAATATTAGAAAGGGAGCTCTGGTGGCATAGTGCCTAAGGCACTTGACTGCAAACCAGAAGGATGACAGTTTAAACCCACCAGCCACTCCTTGGAAGGAAGGTTGGGCAATCTCCTTCTGTAGAGATACTGCCTCAGAAACCCAAGGAGGGGTTGCTGTGAGTCATATCCGACTCTACAGCAGTGAGAGTTTAATGTTAGAAAGTTTTTAAGAGCAAATATTTGAAAGACAACAAATTTTACTTATGAAGGACATTTTTTTTCTTTTTCTTTAAGCTGACCCTTTAGCTATAGATATCACTGTCTTGATCCTTTGAAAAGCTATTTAGAAAATCCAAAAATCAATCAAATTGCTAAATGGATCAGTGATTTTTCAATCTTCTGTCCTTTATAAATGGAGAATTTCATAAAAATTAGGACAAGTTTTGTTTTGCTATGGTTTGCATTGGTGTGTATGTATGAAAGGAAAAAAAAAATGCTACTTCCCAGTTTGTACCCTTCAGTGTCTCTGTTTCCTCTATACCGCTACTATCTTCAGTTTAGTCCTCTCCTGTAGACTTGGTAGTTTCCCAATGGCCTCTGCTTCTAGGATTGCCCCCTCCAAGCCAACTCATATACTGAAGCCAAATTCATTTTCCTAGAGTACAATTCTAATTGTCTTTTTTCAGTTATGACTCCCCATTACCCACAGAGTAACACTCAGACTTCATTACTGGATTTCTTAATCTTTCCTTGACAATATCCCACTGTCTTCCTTCACATACTCTAGTTCCAGCAAAATTAAACCACTCACTATCTTTGTTTATGTTTTCCCCTCTGTTTAGAATGTTTTTATCTTCCAACTCACAGTTGCAGGCTCTAAGCATTGACATTGTTAAAATACTACTTCTCACATAAAGCTTTCCTGGTCTCTATGGTTGAATGTAATCTTGCCATCCTCTGAAATCAAATAATAGTTTCAATTTATGGCATATATCTGTATCCATAAGGTCCTTTATTTATTCAGTACTGTCACAGAGAGGAAAATACTGTATCTGATTTTTGTTCCCTGGAAAGAAATGCTGTATTGGAAGTCAATGCCTTTGCATTGTGTGGATAAAGCATTCCCAGTATCAACCAGCTCCTTCCACTCTGAGTCCATGATTGAATCATAATTAACTTTCTAATTGGCCTTTTGGTTTATCAAGCTCCAGGAAGCTATGTGTGTACATGCCAATCTCCCTGGACATGACCATCTCTGAGGCTGGGACCTTTACAGCTAAGGGACGATCCTGTGCCATGGTAACCCAACCTAGTTCTCCTGCCCTGTGGGGGCTTCCGAGAATCCAGCCAATTCATCTTTGACATCTCAGACTTCTGTATAACTCTTATCACATGTCCTTTCATTTTAATAAACATTGGTCTCATATCATACATTGCTTTTTTCTTTTATACGAGTTTGTTCCATATATTCTTGATATATTCTTACATCATTCTCATTGAGGGTAGAATGTGGATCTGATTTTCTTAATATCTAAGACACACATTATCAGTAAATGTTCAGTGATATACTCCAGTAAATATTCACTCAATATCAATCTGTTGAATAAATTCTTAGAAATACTGAGTTTCATTTTTCCTTGTTTCTCCACTGTTCTCAGAATAAGGGAGAAAAGGATAATCTAAAACAAAGTATTGATTTTTAAGATACTTTACAAATGTGCAACAAATATATCTCCTACTTTACTTGGAACATATTCTCATCAGTTCTCATCACAGGTTCTAACCAACTTAGAACACATGAAGGAAATGCATTAGTTCAAACAATTTAATAGTAAATACCTGTTACTGCTGTCATCCACCCATTCATTCACCCTCCTAACAAAAAAATCTTAAGCATGTCATTTGTGTGAAGCACTATGCAAAAGTTTGGGGGTCTAAAAATGAATTAAACATAGTTCCTGTTCTCAGGAAGCTCACACAGTTCACTGAATGAGAACACTATTGGTCAATAATGCAATATAGTAGAGTAGGCTGAGTGATAGAGATATGTTTAAGATTTACACTGGATTTTATAGACACATAGGGGTGGGGACTTAATCCTACCATTTTTGTGGGTGGGGAACATTTGAAGGGAGCAATGAATGGTGGCTCAGGAAAAGCTTCTTTGAAGAAGGGTTGCACAAGTTTGGCATCAAAAGATGAGAAGAAGTAGAAGAGGTGGGAGAAAGAGGAAGAAAATGCAAGAGTCTAGACTGTTGTCAAAATAATAATGCAAGGACCCTCACAGAATGTGAAGCCCAATTGCTGGGCTTGCTAAATTACCTTCTGTCTCCAGCCCTTTAGCTTGGGATTTGGACTACTACAACAAGGCCGAGAAACTGAAGCCTGTTAGTAGCTTCCCAATCAAACTCTTTCACTGTATTACCTACTGTTTGAGCTTCCAGATAACCATGTACATACTGCATTCCTGAAATATGCCTCTAGGATGTTTAGAAAGCTCTCCTGCTTACTGAGAATATACAATGGTTTCTAACTTATTCTCCTAAAATGAATTGTGCACTTGGAACATTTATGATGAGTATTATATCAAGATGTGATATTGGTGGAATGATTTTGTTTCATAAAATCATTTCCTCTATATTATTTAATATGTGTGGGAATATTCAAGTGTATGAGAACTAAATTATCTGTAATGAGACTGATGTGAAATCACATGTTGTTAGTGTATTCTATCAAGTCAAATAAAGATTAGATAATTTATTTTGGACATTTTACTTGGAACACCACTCATCTGTCACTTTGTTATACTGTGGTGGCTTGCATGTTGCCATGATGCTGGAAGCTATGCCATCAGTATTTCAAGTACCAGTAGGGTCACCCATGGTGGACAGGTTTCAGCAGAGTTCCAGACTAAGACAAACCGAGAAGAAAGACAGGGTCATCCACTTCTGAAAAAAACTGGCCACTGAAAACCTTATAAATAGCAATGAAACACTGTCTGATATCTCACTGGAAAACTTTACGAATAGCAGTGAAATATTGTCTGAAAAAATAGTGCCAGAAGATGAGCCCCTCAGGTTAGAAAGCACTCAAAAATATGATTGGAGAAAACCTGCTTCCTCAAAGTGAAGTCAACCTTGATAAGGAGGATGGAGTTAAGCTTTCAGGACCTTCATTTGCTGATGTGCCATGACCAAAAATGAGAAGAAACAGCTGCAAACATTCATTAATAATTGGAATGTATAATGTAAGAAGTATGAATCTAGGAAAACTGGAAGTTGTCAAAAATGAAATGAAATGCATAAAGATCAGTATCTTAGGCATTAGTGAGTTGAAAAGGACTGATGTTGGCTATTTTGAATCAGACACTCAATCATATCATCTACAATGCCAGAAATGACAAATTGAAGAGGAATGTGGTCACATTCATCATCAAAAAGAATATTTCAAGACCTATCCTGAAGTACAACATTGTCAGTAATAGGGTAATATCCATACATCTATAAGGAAGATCAGTTAATACTACTATTATTCAAATTTATGCACCAATTACTAAAGCCAAGATGAACAAAATCGAAAGTTTCACCAACTTCTTCAGTCTGAAATTGACCGAACATGTAATCAAGATATATGGATAATTACCAGTGACTGGAATGCAAAAGTTGGAAACAAAAAAGAAACATCAATAGTTGGAAAATTTGGCCTTGGTGATAGAAATGATGCCAGAGGCCACATGATAGACCGACGACTTCTTCATTGCAAATAACTTTTTCAACAACACAGATGGTGGCTATACATGTGTGCCTCTCCAGATGGAATACTCAGGAATCAAGTTGACTATGTAACGGGGAACAATAAAATGGAAAAGCTCAATATCATTAGTCAAAACAAGGTCAGGAACTGACTATGGAACAGATCACCAATTGCTCATATACAAGTTTAAACTGAAGCTGAATAAAATTAAAACAAGTCCATGAGAGCTAAAATATGACCTTAATGATATTCCACCTGAATTTAGAGACTATCTGAAGAATAGACTTGATGCATTGAACACCAATAATCAAAGACCACATGAGTTGTGGGATGACATCAAGGCCATCATACACGTAGAAAGCAAAAGGTCATTAAGAAGACAAAAATGGATGTCAGAAGAGACTCTGAAACTTGCTCTTGGATGGAAAGTAGCTAAAGCAAATGGAAGAAATGATAAAATAAAAAAGCTGAACCGAAGATTTCAAAGGGTGGCTCAAGAAGACAAAGTAAAATATTATAATCAGATGTGAAAAGACCTAGAATTAGGAAAACCAAAAGGGAAAAACACACTTGATATTTCTCCAAATGAAAGAACTGAAAAAAAATTCAAGCCTCGAGTTACAATATTGACGTATTCTGTGGGCAAAATATTGAACAATGCAGGAAGCATCAAAAGAAGATGGAAGGAATACAGTGAGTCACTGTATCAAAAAGGCTTGGTCAATGTTCAATCACTTCCAAAACCAAAACCAAAATCACTGCCATCAAGTCAGATCCAACTCATAGCTACCCCTCCTTGGGTTTCTGAGTCAGTATCACTACGGAAGTAGATTGCCCAACCTTCCTTCTGAGGAGTGGTTGGTGGGTTTGAACCACTAACCTTCTGGTTAGCAGTCAAGCACCTTAGGCACTACACCACCAGAGCTCATGGTATTTAAGAAAAAAGAAAAAGAAAAGAAACGAATGGTATTGAAGGAAGAGGTTCAAGCTGTGCTGAAGGAATTGGTGAAAAACAAGGTCTCCAGGAATTGGTGGAATACCCATTGAGATGTTTCAACAAATGGATGCAGCACTGCAGGCACTCACTCATTTATGCCAAGAAATTTGGAAGACAGCTACCTGGCCAACTGACTGGAAGAAATCCATATTTGTGCCCACCCTAAAGAAAGGTGATCCAACCAAAATATGGAAATTATCGAACAATATCATTAATGTCACATGCAAGTTAAAATTTGCTGAAGGTGATTAA